CCTTCGGATGGGGCAGTAAAGCAGATTCACATGTAGGATTTTTGGCTCTTCTGTCTCTCACCTGAAAGGACAGAAATCCTTATAAATCCTTGCTGTCATTATTTATTTTCTTGCTGTATTTCCAATAAGACACCGGGCATTTACTCTAGAGCACATTATTCCCTTTGCCTGTTTTGATGCATTTCCTACCGTGCTGTACACCATGGATGTCCCCAGCTCTGCCCCGTGGGTTAAGGCTTCTGTCCCTCACAGAGGTTTTGGAGAAAGATCGCTTCAGAAAACGAGATCCTAGAGATCCCTGGGGACGGCCAGGGCGGTTACTTGTTTCTGAAGCGCATCTGGCCCTCCCTGTCTGCCTGTTTTTCAGTAGAGCTGGTCAAAAGCCGAACCAGTTTGTGGATCGCAGCAGCCGGGAGTTTTGCAGCGAGCTGCTGGGAGGGCCGCCTGATGGGGCAGGGTGCAGGCATCATGGGGGCGGCAGGAAAATCGTCAGCTGTGGACAGGCGGTGGTGGGTCTGGTGGAAAATGGCGCAGGCGGAGGTAACTTTATTCTGATTTAGCAGCGTAAAATAGCAGCTGTGGTGAGGAGGCACCTGATGGGGAGTGCTGGCCAGCGGATGGCACTAGTGCTCCCATGATGCAGGAAAACAAGCTGATAGAGTGAGAGTTAAAGGAAAAAGCAGGGACATATAAGTGGGTTTTTGAGGCGTCTGGCCTGTTTGGGGTTTTTATCCATTCTTTTCTGAATGGAGTTTGCAGCTGCTGGAGGAGTACGGCAGCGTGGGGCCTTGCAGGGCGCTCTGGAGCTGTGCAAGGGGCTCCCGGGTCTGCTCTTCATGGCCCGCATGGCATGAAGAGGCAGAAGGGTTTAACATTCCCGCTCAGGTAGTTTCAGGTGAAATGTGGAGGCTTTGTCCCCTTCTCAGAAGCCCTCCAAAGCCACGGGCTGTGGCTCCACGTCACCCGCGACCCGGGCTGTCCCGGGCTGTGCCGGAGCCTGGTCGGGCTGCCGGGTGGATGGCTTTGTGGGAAGGGCGATGGCTGCTGGTGGGGCCGGGACAATGCGGGGATTCAGCAGACCGGGGGTAATGCAGTGCGAGCGAGTCTGTGAGAGGCCCTGAATAGGCCAGGCTGTGCTTGAGAAGAATGAGGGGTAGGCAGAAGGCAAGCTAGTGTTTCATGGTCATCTTATGTTACACTTCAGCCTTTCAAAGAGTGTCTGGGGCTGGTTGAATGAACCTCTCTTGCACTGCGAATGCGGGAGCCTAAAGACAAAGGGGACTCTTGTCACTCGCAGGCCCCTTTCGGGAATAAAAGCCATTGTCACATGAACAGGGGCAGTCTGGCAGGCTGTGCATGCTTCAGTGCCCCATGATATCGCTAAGTCTCAGCAGAAATCACATTCAGGGCCCTGTCAGCTTTGATTAGCGGGGTCTCATGACTTAATGTGCTGCGATATTTCATGTCTAAGGGTGGCGGCTGTCTTTCTGTGGGATGAATGCCCTCTATTGTCCACCGAGTTATTTTATTTACATTTTTTTAAACAGCTTATAAAGGTAAAAAGATAGCTGTGCTTAAAGAAAAAAATCAAATTCCTTTGCTTCTGGATCAGTAGTGAGTGCTGCTCGGGTCAGATACAGTGAAACTTGTTTTCACAGTCAGCATCAAAGTTCTCGTCTTGTTTAACAGCTTTATAGTAAATTCTGAACAGGTGGCAGTGGAGCTGGGTTTAGGAAGGAAACAATAAATAATCTTTTTAGCCTCTGACAACCAGAAATATTCTTGGGCCTGAGAGAGCTCCCACTCCGGCTTCTCTGCATCGGTGACTAGCAGCATTTTTCTCCCCTTCATCAGTTTGGGTCTTAAACACGAATATGGGACTAAGCTATTAGTGGGACAGGGAGTATTTAATTTTTAACAGTTTTTTTGGTTGTTGTCCATCCAGATTTCTCTGTTTTCAAAAGCAGAGTATATTTTTTATACTAGTGTTTTATCCGTTAATTTCGACAAGTAATGAAGGTTGATTCTATATGTTAAATTCAGTTAATGTTTCCTCTTTCAATTAAGATAATGTAGATTATCTACTGAAATTCAGTTGTTAAAATTTGTCATAAAATAACTTGGAGTACCCGGAGAAAAAGCTCTGTAGACACAGAATTCAAAGTTTTTGTCAGCAATACATAGTACTACAGAAGTAATTTATTAATTCAGTAGAAAGGATGGTTGACCAAAGAGTTAAACTTAAAGGAATACAAATATGCTAAAGTGTGGAAATGCATAGTTCAATCACCAACATGACCTTCAATTTTCAGTGTAGTGATGTTTTGAACACTGATTCAGGGATGTTATTATTTGTAGTCCTACTTCATGCATGGTGCTTGAGTACACTTGGTGTATTTTTGCAAATCTGTCAATACAGGTCAGTGTTAAGATTGATTGAGCACATTAATGGATATTCAGATTTTGGATTTCTTCACTCGGACTTTTTTGAGCTGTTCTCAGGACAGTGAAAATGTCTCTGATATTGCTTCTTTCCCCCATTCACCACCTTAATTGCAAAGGTTTGTTCAACTCTTACTGTATTTTAAAGTGTATGCATTTGAATTTCCTTGTTTCTTTTAAATGAAAGTAATAATCAATAAGAAAACCAAGGAAAATATTACGGGGGATGTTTCTCATGTAAAGAAGATGATGTCAGTCTCAACCCTTTTTTCCTATCAACTTAATCTACTGCTAAAGGACAGCTTTAGTGGCACGTTGCCTGCTAGATTCATGCCACTACAGAACAGAGGTAGCCAACCTGCGGGCCATGGACCACTCTGCCGTCTGCTCCCAAACACCATGTCTTCTGGAGCCACCTGTGCTATGGGCATCTGTCTGGTGAAGTGGTTGGGAAGGAGCTTGAGTGTTGCTGGAAAATAATAATTCAGATGGTAGTATTCTGCTCCTACTGCCAGCATTTCTGGGCTCTCGTCAAGCACGCGGGCTCTTGGAGAAGAGGTGTGAATGTGCAGACACCAGAGAGTCTGGTTCTGGAGGATCTGGTGAAGGTGGGTGGCCTGTGTGCACAGAAACTTGGGCAGTGCTCTAGAGGATCACTCATTTGTGAGGACGCACTGATCAGTTAAACCAGGTTTAAAACTGCTTTGAGTGACCTAAGGAAGACAAATCACAGAAGTGTGTGTTTCAGTTCCCTCTTCCCCTTCACCTGTGCACACGCGTATTCCAACCTTGACTTCTACTTCTCTCCCTCCACCTGAAATTCTTTAGATTTGGGTAACCTGTCACTACTTCATTTTGATGGTCTCACTCCTTATAAAATATGTTCATGCTCTCTTGAAAGTGGACCTGGGAAATCTCATATTTTTCTCGTTTCTGAAGATCTTCCTGAAGACAGCTGTGTATATTGTATGCTCTTTAAGCAGGAAGTAATTAAACATCTAACCTGATGTCATACACTATGCAGTGATGCACTCTGAGAATTTGAGCAAAACTGATTAGCCACAAGTTTGAAATGAGTGATTCCAAAACATGAAACATATGTTCCTTATGATTCATATGTGGTGTGCCTTTTACTCAATTATTTCTACCATTATTATATATCCAGGCTTTGATCACTGTGATTTTCTTACAGTTGACGTTGGATCCTCCTCTGCAAAGTCTCATTCTGTGGTTTGGTCTATTCTATGTTTTTTCAGAAATTCCTTCACCATTGGTTCAGAAATACTACACTAAGTCAGGCACAGGCATATTTACCTTTGCGTTGTCCCAACTTGCTTGCAGCAGAGCTAAGTAATGCAGGAGTCATCAGAAACCATTTGTGTCTGTCCTGCATCATCACTCCAAGCAGTGCTACTAGCAAAAGGTTATTCCTCTGAGGCTAACCCTGCCGTGGGAAAATTGCTTAAATTGTCAGTGTAGACACCACCCAAGTGCACATGCCCTTGCAGATAAGATCTTGTGTGGCTTCCTGCACTTCGTACTGTATATGGAAAGAATAGTCATTTTTAGATGAGACAGAGCCAGCTGCATTCAAAACAGGTAGAGAGGATCAGGTATTGGTGCAGGGTGCTCTGGGCTTGTGTGTTCACTTCAAAACATTCCCCATTTTCCCATACTCTCGTTTTTGCGATCGCATGACTAGAAGAGTGGTCTGGTGCTCGTGGCTCGGCCTGAATGCGTCAAGTTTGGGTAACTTCCCCCATCCTACGGTCAATGCACCTACACGCATTTTAGATATAATTTAATGTAGTATTGCCCAGCTTTGAATTCTTCCGAATCCTCGTCCAACCCTCCTTTGCTGTGTTTTTAGGTGTTTATCCTTGGGAAACAAGACTATTACAAAATGTCCAAATAGGATTTTCACTTTCCCCATAATTAAATCAAAGAATGACCCAAAGCTCCCCGAGGACAGTGAGAAGACTCACAATCTTTGATGGGATTTGAATCAGGCAGCGGGTCTTCACCTTTTCTCCTGTACTAAGCAGTGGCTTCATCATGTACCTGTCCTGTATACACTTGGGGGATGCAAGGGAAGGCGGGGACCAACCTCTCCCATACTTCTGTTATGGTCTGGGGCAGGAGGGTTTTAGTATAGGTTAAGCACTTATGTATAGCGATAATGCTAATAATGCTAATTTTTTGCTGTTAATACATTACATGCTAGAAATTCTCTATGTATGAAATGTATTTTTGTGAAAAGGCTACTTGTACCACTGGTCAGGACTGTAACATGTTCTCTTTATAGTTTGAGGGAGGGTGGGTAGACCCTGATAAGCTGACAATATGTTAGCGTTCACCAAAGCTTTTCCATGTTCTGCGTCGTAGCTAGCTTTTTTGCGCTTATTGATCAGCTGGTGAAGCGCGGGAGGTATCTGCTGCTTAGGGTTTTTGTTGCCCTGCTGACTCAAGCTGAGGCTGAGGATCTGCAGTCGGATTAACATGATCGCTAGCTTCCAGCTACCCTGGCTACTCTTCCAGCACAGCTGGGAGAGTGCAGCACTGGGTATGGGGAAATGCGTGTTTCTTGGGTGGGGAGGGGGATTCTCACCATTTCAGTTACAGCATGCTGTCTGCCTAATTGAAGTGTTTGTTTTCTAACTACAAAATGAGTCTGCGAATGAGGTGCTGCTTTTCTGGAGATCTTATCATCTATAAACAGACTGTTAAAAATAGGGTCGTTTTACACAAAACTTGTTTGTGTAGTGAAACAATTCAAAACATGATAATAACAAAACAAAATCTTAAAATAGCTCTAAGTTGAGACCACAGACACAGCTGCCAAACACTTTCATCTTTATTACAGTTACTCATATCTCTTCTCTTATTATTCCTATTGTAAACATGCTGATTTTATCTCAGTTGTCCTCGCTGTTCAGCCAGCCAGCCCATGTAACCACCCTGCAATCCAGCCTGGTTGGTTGTGCCTAGGACCCAGGTCGTGCCTCTCCTCCACGTTTAGCTTTGTCCATGGACAAAGCTGCTGCCCCGCTGCTGACGGTGCTCCCTGCTGCAGGGAGTTTCTGCCAGCAGCACAGTTTGTCTGACTGCTCCGTCACCTACTTTGGCTGGGTGATGTTAAAATGATGTTAAAAACCAGCTTGTGTGATTTGCTTGAAGTTCCTCTGACCTGCAGCAGTGGTGGTGGTGTGAGCTGGGTCTGCCACAGCTGGGGTTGGAAGGCGATGTCTCTCCACGCTTTGGCTAAATGAATATTCGTTGCTCTACACCCTTTGGTACAGGGTAGAATATAGATCCAGTGAAAGAGGAAGACCTAACCTGGCACAGCACATGTTCATCTGATTAAGTCACCTGTATGGTTAATAGAGATGGAGATAAAACTATGCCATTTTGATAACAGTTCTGCAGTTAGATTAATCTGAATGTGCATGTGAACGTTAAAAAGCTACTAGGGAAACCATTGTATGCTTGCATGCTAAAACTAACGGATTACTTGTTTAATAAAAGGTACTAATGAGATCAAATGGTAAAACAAGATTTTGAGAGTTGCAAGTCTTTGGTTTCGTTTTTTTTAATTCAGCAAGCAGATAGCTGGGAGGAAAATAAAACCAGCTGCCAAAGCTCTGGAGACCCAAAACCCTTCTTCAGGTCCAAAACAGAAGTAGCAACCTTCAACTTGTATACAAGTTGAGAATAATTACTCAGCTTGAACTTTGTGATGTTAATCTCATAATTTGAGAGAAAAGGTACTTGATGCTTGTGGAGCAGAGTAGCATATTAGCCTCTAAACAGGTGGAATAGTTATAAAGTCTGGAGTAAGAGAGAAATTTGGTTGAAGATTTAGCTGGGCTGAGAAATGAGAAACGTGCCTTTCTATTCGGTATCTGGTTTGTAGCATACGGTCACTGCATTAATGTTAGTTCCTGCTTTTGTCACTTAAAGCTCTTCTGTTGATTTCTCTTTCTGGGATGAAGCCTGGACTGTCAGTGGCGCAGTGTTCGTTTTGTGTTCAAACAAACAAACCAATCAACCCAAAAAAACCCCCAAACCCCCCAAACCCAAAACAAAACAAATGGGAAAAAAAAGTTTTCCCCCTGATAACTGGGTCCCTCTGTTCTTTCTGGACAGTAAGATTGAACGATTGAACTTCTACGGTGTGTGTTGGTTGTCTGCTTTTGTACACTCAGTCTTTGCTGCAGTGGATGAAATACATGCATGAATTTCCCAGAAGGTAATGTAATCCACGGCTTCTGCTGTGAGCAGTGCTCGGATGAGCTGTTAGGTTTTGTCTGTGTTGCTTGGCTGGGCTGCAGAACATGTGCTTCCAGTGACAAGTTACGTTGAGGTGTCTTTTGAATGCTAGGAGAGATCGCAGAAAATGTGTTTCAAGGTGTGCTCCTACTGCCACTTAGGTTATTTTTCTGGTTAAATTTTTCTATAAAGGTTTCATGCAGGTGAAGTGTAATGCTGAGGTTTGCATTTGCTTGGGGGGGAATGCACATTTTTCACTGTATTATGTTTGTTTACATATTCAAACAAATAACACAGTTCTAAAATGCAACTATTTTGACAAACAAATCCATCATTTTCATGATCTTTCTCTCAAAGCAAAATCAATCACAGATAGCAGAGAAACCTGTTGAAGATAAGAGCTTTTCCTCTAAGCCCTAACATACTGTTTTTATCCTCATCTGAATAAATAGGCATTTGTGAACTCAGTTGATTACGTACTCTGTCTTGTTGTTGCTTAGCGTTACGTGCATGCTGCAGTAGGGTTAGAGATGTCGTGTTTTCAAACACTGTTTACAACCATTTTGGAAAATACAGCCTAACTTTGCAAAGTAATTAGAAGGACACTTGATGTAAAACATCCTTGTTACCTAGTTCACAATTACGTCAGTACTAACACATAAATGCTAGAAGGCTCCTTGCTCTTATTACTCTATTTACTGGAAAAATACACTATATTAGAGAAAGCCATTATATGCTCACTCTGTATAAGATCCAAGTATTTACACACACTACAGAAATCAGACACTATAAACTGCTTAAAATCCTAATTAGTTTTTATGCCTCCCAAGCAATGCACAGTTAGATCTTAATACATTTTTGTAATCACCAAGCTGGGACAGGATAGGCAATGGCTGAACCAGTTCTTCTCGCAGTCTGAGTTGCTGCAGTTCACCATAGCAGAGTTTCCTCATCTGCAGAAGATACTGATTTGGAGTCAATTTGTGAACGTGGCAGGTTTTGGCTTATCAAAGATTTGTAGATACCACACAAGGGAAAGATACAGTTCGTACCATCTTTCTGATTGTGGTGAACCTTAGCACTTTCGGGGTGTGGAGCTATGCAGAATTTATAAAAACTGAGATCTCTTGGTTTCAGGGTCTTTCAAATCTTGAGTTGCTTTCACAAAATGGAACCATTTTGCAAAATTTAAAAGGCACAGCAAGGTGGATAAAGTTAACTCAGAAAGGTCAGGGTTTTTTTAGAATTATATTGATAGAAAATATCCATCTTAGCTGATTTTGTCCAAGCACTTTACTTTCTCTATCTCTTTCTGCCAGACAACTTGATCTTTAATTTTTGCTCCAGGGTATGCTGCTGCTCGGAATATGCAACTCTGCCAGGAGTGCTCTTGTACATTTCCAAGTGGAATGTATGTGGCCAAATGTTTATATGATTTGTACTTGAAAATTTAACAGAAATAATTAACACATTAAAAATTTGTATAATAGCATACACGCTTCGCTTTGGAATAATCCCCATTTATCCACTGTGTTGTTCTCCTCCTAAATACACAACTTTTTTTGTATTTTCTAGGCAGCCATACTGAGTATTAAGCTAAAATTACAGCCAGATCAAGATGTGGAGAAGGTGAGTCATTTCCTCTGCAGGCTTCTCTGTCATCAGATCCACCTTTTGTTAAGCAGGAGATCCATCAAGGCCCTCCAAGTTGTGCTGCCTTTCACTTGAGGCTTTACTTTATTCCCAAGAAGTAACTGCTGCATTTCTGATGTGCCTTTACATACAGGGAAGTGACAGAGTGTATTTTGTTAGGCCCCATTACAGCTTACTGGACTGTTTTTCTAGCTGCAGCCACTGTTATAAAAAATTCTAGCTGTGTTCTTGACAGATGGTTATCACTATGATGGAGTTTAGTGCTTTTGCTATTTTGAAGCTTTGCTAATGTTTGTGTTGAAAATGTCACATCACTCTTTTAGGCAGCACTGCTTGATTAAGCAGGGGGTTTGTGACTTGCTTGCCATGTCTGAGCAGCAGGGAATGGGACAGCCCTCTGCCCATGGACCTCTCCCATGCCTTCTTGCGTGCTGCAGCGCTCCGTCTGCGGAACATGGTGATCAAAGGCAGGGCATAGTGCTTTAAATGTAATTTCTTCTCCTAGATGTGTACACCACTACTGCTCCAAGATAAAACTAACTTGGTGGAAGATTATGTGGGAGAATATCCTGAGCTCCAGAGCAAGCTCTTGCAGATCCTGGACACGTGGTGTGAACCTGGTTTTAATATCAGAGACATCACAAGGTAGAAACACTTGTTGGCTGGGGCCAGCTTGCTGTCAGAGGACAGTATGTTCTCTGGTTGTCTATCTAAGATCATTTCTCAGCATAATGGTGTGCAATATATTTACTTTTCAGCTGAGAAAGGGGAAATTCTGGCATCTGTGCCAGAGTCTTCTCTAACACCTCAGCCCGTAAGGCAGAGGTATCATTCCTATTGACAGATGCTCAGTTCCTGCCAGGAGAGAGGAGTGCAAAGTGAAAACTGTGCAGTAGATCTTAGCAATATAACAATATCAAAGCTTCCTCCAGGAGGTTGTAGCAATCAGACCCTCGTGCTTTGCTGCAGACAAGCGTGAGTTTCAGTATCGGTTGTACAGGTTTTGCAGGAAGATAAGACTGTGATGAAGTGGCAGAAAGACATCAGATGCAAGTGGGCTCATGAAATAGTTGTGTGTGTTTTAATTTATAAATTGCCTCTCACTAGAATAGCTCCTGTCAGTCACAAAGCCAATAGTACTGTCAAACTCACAGTGTAGATGCAATAGTTAGTCTTAGTTCTGAAAAAAGATGAGGGAATTGCTCTCTTTCTCTTTAAAATAAGCCTCTGGACTTGCTTCAGTCATTGACTGGGAAATTTGTGTGGTTGTATTGTTAGCTTTTTGCTGTAACTCGGGAAAGGTAGGGGACTGCTCTTACCAACACCTAGCAAACCCTAATACCTCTGTTGTTAAATATCTGCTATTTGGGAAACATACCTTAGGCGATTCCACAGATGTTTGTTTCTGATTTTGTTTATTTGCTTACAGACAATATCAAGGCCTGTCCAGGTACAAACCAGATAAATTTAACCGCAAAATGCTAAGCAAGCTGGTCTTCAGGCTCCTAGACCGATTTAATGTAGATCCAGGTATGTGATATTGCAACATATTGTGGAGTTATCTCACCAATAAAGAACAGATGAAGTCAATTTGTCTTCTTCCATGTTCAGCAAGGAATCTCTGCTGTAATTTATCATGGGGAGTTTCAGGGTTTAATTAATGATTTTGGAAAACAAAGCTGGTAAGTTATGGGAATTATCACTTTGTGCTGTTGAAGAATGAAGTGCTTGTAACTAATAGACTGCTTCTTCCATGATATGAAATAAATCTTGACATCAGAATGGCTCTCTGTAAACATGTGATGGTCAGCTTTGAGTTACGACTCCGTTCCACTCACATAAGAGGCAAGTCATTACTCATCTGGGGATCTGTTTTCTTGAGTTACGGCTCCGTCAGCTGGGAAGAGATAACCCTTGGGAACCCTTCATATTCTTTTCGTAAACTAGGGTTGGTGGTAGGGAAGTTGAAGGCTCTTGCAGCCTTCCGAGAGAAGTAACACATTTTACATCACTGACTAGATCTGCTTCACTACCAGTTATCTAACAAAATCTACTTTGTTTTGCTTTGATTGTTAGCGGGGACTGTTGATCTTTTTTTCTTCTCTTTGGGACCTTGTGTCAGACACCTTTAGGTGCACCGTTAGGTTTTGCCCTGCAAAGCTTTCCATCATCAGCCCAAGATATGCAGTTGTCTTTTCTTGGACTGAAAAGTGTTTTCTAACCACAAATTGTGGGCTTATTACACCTGGCAGCAACACTATATTGCATATTAATCTTCACATCTTCAGACTGGTGTTCAAAAGTTAATAAGATAATCCTTACAAACCCTCATTGGAGGATAAGTAAATATAATTGAACTTAGCACATTGGTGTGAAAGCTGAGGCATATGGGGGGTGATTTATTCAAAATCTAAAACCTTCCCAGGAGTTTACTAGTCTTCAGTAATTTTTCCTCCTTTACAAGGTTGGTCATTCAGTAGGCTGTATTGTCTTTTATGATCTGTAAAGAGCATTGAGTTTTTCCTCTTTCCTTATGAAAGATCCACCAAGGGTATGATACTAACTGTAGAGGCAAAATAGTGTAACTGTTCACATGCAAAATCCTGAGAAATTAAAAAAAAAAAATAGCCTAGGAGAGGAGCATGTAGCTGTTGATCTCAGGTGCTTTCTGTGGGATGGTAGTGTGCCTCAGCCTGGTGATAGTGCCCCAGATGTTGTAGCTGCCGATAATAATGGCCAAATCTTGCTGGTCCTCCACAACACATTCACTAGTGAGGAGGTTCCGTGAGGCAGATACAGATCCCATTCCTGCCTACACTTCCAGAGAGTGATTCATCCCATGTGAACTTGCAGTGCCTACAGTGCAGGATAAGTCCCTTGCTAGAGAGGGCTGTCCACCTCTATTGATGTGAGAGGGGATGTGGGCTACTGATTTAGACAAGATGCCAGATTTGGGGCAGCTAAAACCAGCGTTGGATGACTCTCATAGTCCCATATATTAAAGTAGGTGTTTATTTTTTACATAATATCACATGTAATTCAGAGCAAGAGTTCACACTTTGCTAAACTGTGGCTGTCAGTCTCCTGTGAAATGCTTTGGAAGGGGATGAATGCCTACAGAGGAATTTCTGCCTTAGTGCTGGTCCTGCTTGAACTGAATTGGGAAATGGTGGCAGCTGGAATAACATGGCTTTCCTTTTCTTCCCACCTCTCTCCCCTCCCTTCCTCTGAATTTCTGGGTGTTCTTTCTCCATTCTTTAGTGGAAGTAAATCTGACTATGAGGAAAGAGCATACAAAAAGGAAGCGGGCTGGGTAAAACGTACAGATTAAAAAAACCCCTCATTTCTCTTGTTCTGAGCAGCTCCACCAAAAGCTAGCAGTGAGGTAAAACTCACACTTCTTGTTACCTAACCTGATTGTGGGCTTGTTCGATGCTGCAGTCTTCTGCTGCTTTCTGTCTCCTCTTCACTCATGACTCCTACTCGCTGAAAGAGGCTGAGAGCAGCAGCAGAAGAGGGAAGTGGCTTTCGGTGAGAAAGGCTGGAGGAGGACAGGGTTTCTTGGTATGAGAAGGCAAACTTGTATGTGACTCAGTTCTTGCAGTTCCAAATCTACTTTCATATTTCATTACCCGAGCTCACTCCTAACCACTCTCAGTAAATTTCACTGTCTGCTAAGCAAAACTTAGGTGTTGGATCAGCCATTAAGATTTGAAATACTCTTTGGAACTGCCAGTCTTAAATTTCAGAGCCAGTCAGGAGGTGGCCCAATATAAAAAAGATCTGGAACCTCAGGGGAAAAAAAAAGCCGTCATCTTAGATTAGTCCACCTCTTCTTTTTCTGAACTGTATTCCAGTATTCCTGTTAACACACAAAACAGTGCATGGTAAGTGGAAGATTTTCTGCCGAGTCCCAAAGGTGTCCCAATAAACTGTGTGTGGATTCCATTTAGTTAGCTTTACTGGGGAGGGAAGAAGTTGGGCAGAAATGGCATGTGACTGGGGAAATGGAGTTTTATAGAGTCTTTTCTAACACATGGATCAATATGGTCTGGTTTAACGAGCCTGTGGCTTTTGCAGGCTAATTACTTAATATTCTTTGGAGACCCTGTGAGATTGACTTGGATTTACAAATGCAAGTTTCAGTCAAAACAGTTCTCAGAGTTGAGGGAACAGACCCTACCTGGGTTTGAAATGGTTGAGTCTATTTTCTGTTGTGTTTTTGCACAGCCAGTATACCACAGAGAGTTCAGTGGCATTTTTCATTGAAAATTCATTGGGTATGAGGTAGAAATGATACCACTCTGAAAAGTATAACTGTCCTCATATATTGGGCCTATATGACAATAAAGCAGATAATAGTGGTGTTGATAGAAAAGAGGTGGTAATTGAATGCACAGTTAACAGTTGTCGTCCTGTAGCAGTGTAACAAATTAGCTGAGCACCTTAAGTTTTGAATGCTATGAACATGTTTTTCCCATAGTCTTTCAAAGTTTTTTCAGCATAAACTAAGAGAAATGTTTCTCTTCATTTGACCACCAGGTTAACCTTTTGGTTTAACCTTTAATGTCAATCTGGTGTGAATCTTCCTTATTAAGCCCCAGAACTGATTTGTGAGATCAAGCGTTATCACTCCGTTAGCGTTGGGGCAGTAGAGGGCAGACGAGGGCTGCTCAGCAGTGTGTGCATCTGCTCAGGTAAGTCACAACTGTCCTCAAACTTCATCAGGTCTGCGAGAGCTGCAGGCACATCGCAGGGCGGTCACCAGGGAGAGCTCCAGCAGGGACTCGTGGGAGTCTGCACTAGGCGCTTTCAAAAGATGCTGTGTTAGAGAGACAGGAATGGCTGCTATAACTTTACAGGAGTGCCTTTGGAAGGAGGGAATTTCAAATGTTTTTACCTTTTCCTCGTTAAAACAGAGCAGAAGGTTATTCCTTTCCCTTTGCTTTACAAGGGTTGTTTCCCCCTACTTCCATGGTGATTTTCCTTCAGAGTTTTTTAGCTCTCGTGTTAAATACGAGCACATCTCTACTGGTAGTGGTAGTACTCATAGCACTGTGACTGAGAAGAACCTCTAGGCTTAGACATCAGAAGGCAGGAGCCATCCATTCCTGAGGCTGCAGTGGCTGCAGAGTCAAGGTTCTAAGGAGAAGGGGACTGAACATTCCAGGGTCCTTTCTGGGGCCCTTACCTTCTCAGCTACATTTTTGTCTACTGAAGTACAGGTAGTAGAATATGATCTGCTCTAGACCAAGACAAGCTGGCCAGCAGCTCCAGGCTTTTCATTGGAAAAGCTGACACCACCCTTGCAGTTCTGAGCATGAATTCATCATATCCAGACGCATGTCTGAAGACCACACCAGAGCATTTTTTCCTTTAGGTGTAGATCGAAACCCTTGTGCTGTGCTCTCTGTTCTTCCTCCAGTCAGCCAGTGTTCCAGGCAGCAAAGCTGGCAGGTAGCTCAGGGGTTTGGAGGTAGTCTGGGGCTTCTGCTGTTTCACCTTCCTTTCTGAGGACCACTGACCCTGACCTGTAGTGGCACAGAGCATTTTATGAGAGACACTAATGCATCTTTGAGGCTAAAACAAAAAGAGGTTTTCTTGAGTCTGGCCCTACCCTCCACTGATTCGCACTTAGGGACTAATCTCACAATACACTGAGAGACTAATGCACAGCTTGCTTCTCATCAGATTCCCCATCAATCCTTAGCAATAACAGGGTAAAAGCCTCTAGTGTTTCAGGTACCCTGATTTTATTTAAAAAAGGCTTTATCCCTAAACAAAGTATGCTTTGTCTGGGACCTTCTGTTCTGCCAGGACAGGGTGAAGGAGTCTCATTGTGAATGGAAGTCAAGCTCTCAGGGCAGTGTAAAGAGAGGATTGGGTCCACATCCCAGCTCAGGAGGCATCACGTATCACCTGGGAGTGGTAGCCATGGACCACACCTAAAAATATATTGCACTATGTCCCTAGTAGGCACATCTTACCGATGTTACACGAGTGAAATAAGTGTGTATTGTGGGTTTCATACCCTGCGTGACAAATAGATTTCATTTTTACTTCCTCTGTGTTGCTAATAGCCATTAACTCTGCTAACGGCTGAGAGCAGACTGGATTTTTTGCTTCTGAGTCAGTCCCAGATGTGAAATGTAGTTCAGATGAAGCACTGTTGTGGTGCAACTGCCAGGTTAAGAGTGAACACATGCCCAAAGAGGTGCTATCATAGTGTTATACCGTTTGTATTCCACTAGTGCTCCACAGCCCAGTCATGATCCCAAAACCCCATTGTACAAACACTGAATAGAAGGGTGGTCCCTGTTCTGAAAAGCTTAGGACGTTGTCTTTTGCTCTGACCAACAGAACATTGGTTTTGGCACAGGAGACCCGAGTTCAGACTCCTGTTCACTCAGCTATGTGTTTGACCTTCAGTAAGTTGCTCTGCCCTGAAGCGCTTTGTTTTCTGCAAATATAAGGAGTAGATGGTCATGAAACTGCAGGGAAAAGGCCTGGCAAAGATTCTGCAGTACCACCTGCATCACCCTCCTGCCCCAAAGCCAGAGGAGCTCCTTCTGTTATTTCTGATATATGTGGAATGTGGAACCTATTCTTAAAGACCTCCAAGGTGGAAGGTTTACCATCTTCTGTACAACCTATGCCAGTTCTTTTCTAGCCTTGCCATTAGATTTTTGTTGTTTTTGTCCTCTAAAAGGCTATATGGAATTTCTCTTGCCTTTATGGCTTTTGGTAGATGCATCTCATGTTTTACTTTGGACTCTTTGATTCTATGTGTTTGTGCTGTTCTTTTGTATGTGTGTGATCCAGTTTCCATGTTCTTTTAACTTCCTTCTTGGGTTTGAGATCAGTAAAAACTTCTGATTTAGCAGTTAGGTCTCTTACTTCACTTCCAATTTTTCCATTGCCAGCTCTTCTTAACTCCTTTTCCCCTTATAAATCATTTTGACATGAAATCTTATCTGCCAGTTGTCTGAGTTTATTGAAGTCCATTTTGTTGTTTTTATTTTGCTGTTCTTCCTTTCCTTAGAGCTTTGAACTCTTCATTTTATTGTCTTTTTTACCAAGTTACCTTTCATCCTCACATTTTCGATTAGTCCTTCTCTGTTTTTTTATAATAAAATCTAGAAAACTGGATTCAAACTCAGTTCCTTTGCTCCAGCAGAATACAGAATGTCACTAGTGCCTTCAAAAATGTTCCAGTCCATCTGTGTTCCTCTGTCCTACTTTCAGCACAGATAGCTGGGCACTTAAAATCCCTCAGTTCTGCCAAGTCCTGTGCTTTGGATATTTCCTCTAAAAGCTCAAAGAAAAAAACATTCAGTGGATCTTTTTGGTGACCTAGAGCAGTCATGCCATGTTTCTTTCTGAAGTGCTTTGAAATCTTTAAGTTAGGTGGTGATATTACTAATTTTTATGTTGATCTTACCTTCTTTAAAGAGTGTTGCTTTCCATGAGTTGATGATCTTTCCTCCAGATATTGGGATAATATCCATTGGAAAGATCACCATATTTATTGGGATAATATCCTGCGGGATAATGCCAATAATTTTTTTAGATCCTTTGAGGGCAAAGATATCTTGTCACACTGCGGAAGATTAACTTAAAAATAACAGCTTTAAACATTTCTATTTGAGATGGAAATGTTCAAGTTATGAAGTGATGCTTCAAGAGACTTTGAGAAGCTGCAGTATCCAGTGGTACATCAATTCATATCCCTCTGATTCCGGGGCCTGGTATTCAGAGATCTTTCTTCATTCTCGCAGTTTTTAATCCTCGGGCGTGCCATGTGTGGGGCATGGAGAATGCTAAGCTCCGAGGCCCTTTAAGTCGGTAACACTAGTTTGTCCCGGTGTACGCTGATTCAAGGGAGGCTGCAGAGAATTTTCACTTTGCTGTTTTCTGTTACCATTTCTGATTGCTGGTCCTGCTCCTTCCGACTACCAGTGAGATGGTTTTAGCCACTGAAACCCCAATGAAGGCTTTGGTTAAATCTTTCCTTGTACATGCATACAAGCATCTAGCAAGAACTGACAGATACGTATGCTAATCCCAGTTAATGTATTTTATCATCTGCGTTTATCTCTCTTTGCACTGGATTTCACAACAAGGTGCTATGAGAAGATCTTGTTTTTTGCAGTTGTAATGAGGCATATCTAATGAAGATGACAGTAATAAAAATAATAACAACAACTGTTGCTTGCTAGCTCAGCAAAACAATAGTCACCTCCCTCTTTGTATGGATATGGAGTCTCTTTCATGGATATATATTTTATTGGTTAAACTTTAGCCACAAGTTTACATCCTGAGCAACATGTTCAAAACTGCTTCAGTGAATTAACAGCACGGGTTCCAATTAAATCAAAAAGAATGCAGCCTCTAGAGACTGGAGGTGGTGCATGTATGAGGATGCTACCTAATTAAAGGTGAGAAGTCATTGGCTGTGAAGCATATTGAACCAGCAAGTGGATCGTATCATTCAAGGGTGGTAGAACCAGAGATATCAGAACCGAGGATTAGCGTTGCTAATCATGGTTGAAAGTGTAAATAAGAGTTTATAGTTTAGATAAGCTGACAATGTGTGTGCCTGTCCGTCATTGTTCCAAGTGTGATGGCACCCTGCCTTCCACATACTGAATTTGAAATTGGGGAAGGAAAAATGTAATGTCTAGACAGTAACACTTCAAGGAAGTTCAGCCATGTTGTATACTTAAATGTCTTTTTCCTTCTTTTAGCTCTCTGCCCTAATGTCATAAATCAGCGGCACCTGAGAACTCTGAATTACCTCTTTTACAAGAGATTTGTTGAGGTATGTTTCTGTATTGTGTGGCATGGGTGTGAATGAGGCTTTTTGTTTATTTTGCATTTTGAATAACATAATTGATATGATTGAAATGTATTGATAGTATATGAGCAAGTTTTCATTGTGATGACTGTTGTATGGAAATGCATTAGATCTGCCATTGGACCTGTTTTTTCTGTGAGTGAATAGTTTGTGTGTCCGTTCATATTCTAATGTCTGGGAGTCTTGATTGCTCAGAGCTGGATGCTTGTTCACCTCAGCAACCTCAGCAGTGTTCTGAGACACATGTAGGTAGGTCAGGGTGTGCTCTCCATACATTCAGTTTCTCTCAGCCGTGCCAAACAAGCAGGAGCATACTGGCTAAAGAGTTTTTTTGCGGTTTTGTTTTTTGAGGGGTTTGTGTGTTGGGTTTTTTTTAAGAACACTACGTTTTAGGCATTCCACGTTGGTGGGTTCTTCGTAGGCACTTTGCTTTTGTACTTGTGGCCTGACTGTGGTAGGTATGGCCCAAACCTGCCACAGAAGTGTTTTTGTGCTAACAGCCTTGTTACTGCTGAGCAAAACGGTAGTACGTTCAGCTCCTGAACCACTCTTTGAACTAACTTTACTTTTGTCCAGCCTCCAAATTCTCTTTCCAAATACGCTGGTTCTTGTCCTGGCACTGAGGGCTTGTAGAAATAAGAAGATGCCATTAATTCTTTCTAAGGAGCAGGTTTCTAGGAGGCAGATTGGAGGTTGACTGTCTGCAGATTTACTTGACTATGGTTTCTCCTCCCCTCTCATGAGTGTACTGAGCCAAGTCACTGCCCTTTGGATGCTCTTGAGCACACTGCGTTGGGGAGCACGTTTCTCTTCTTGTTAACTGGGCAGTTTTGGTGCTTCTCTTGAAGCATTATCATCATTATCCTGTGCCTGGAGACTTTGCTGGAGATTGTACCAGCTGAGAGTAGGTTTTTGTTCTGTCTCTTCTGGAAAAAACAGCTTACACTTGTTGTTATCCAGGTGTATCAATTGGACTGTGAAGGACAAGGACCACAAGAGACTGAATATCATAGCAAAATGTTTCCATTTCTTGAATTTTGAATTATCAAGCTGTATTTGCCAAACATGGATTGGTGTTTCATCTATAGTTCATAGAAGACTTTCTCCTTGTCGATACAAGAGGCTTTTTTAACAGAGTTTTAACAGAGCCCAACAGGTTCTTCAGATGTTCCTACGGTACTATTGAGCCAGTCTTCAGAGAGCCAGTTTTCAGGAAATGAGCCACCTCCTCCAGAAGTTCTTTCATTCAAAAGAGGATACATTTGACGTTCTGACAGAAGAAGGCAGATGCATGCGTTTTTTCTGATCCTCCCCACCCCCCAGTACATTGAATGCAAAGATGGGGTTGAGTAGTGGTCATCTGATGACACAGTTCTGGCACAGCCAGTTCTGCTTCCAAGACCTCCTGATCCATCAGTGAAGGCTCTGATCTGTCTTTGCTGCCTGCCAGATCCACTGACGGAAGACCTGGGGAGGATCGAGCATTTCAACGTCCTGCATCTCAAAGCTTTAATGTTGGATGACATCATTCTACAGAGCTTGGTCATCTGCAGTGAGAGAGGAGAAAGCATTTATCCAGGTGTATTTATTTAGCACAGTGGAATGGATTCTTGAACTGGTGGTCTGCTCTCTCTGGCCTTCCACTTCCTTTGTTTTGCAGTATTTGCTTGATTTAAAATATCCAAGCTGGCCAGTTACTTCCATTAAGGTACATTTGGCAGCTGTTTCTGGACACAGTCCCTTCTGAGAGCTCTTTGGTGTTCTCTGTTTACCATTCTCAGCTGTGTATGAGGTCTGGTTAAATGGCTCCTTTATCTCACTAGTATTTAAATTACATGCTTGTATATCTCAAAGATGTTTTCTTTGAGGCTCTTACTCCCGTTTGCTCTTGTACCTTTCCATAAAAGTGGCACTAGTAATCGTTGTTACTTCTGCCAGAAGTGGGGGTGAGGCTCAGGCCTCGGTGGCTCGTCCGTCTCATGCAGCCTGTGTTCTTGGCAGAGTGGAGAGTAGGTCCCATCCCGCGTTTCTCCCCAAGGCTGGCTCTGAACTACATTGGAACGGGGATATTAACTTAGCAGTTTCCTCGCCCAGACCTCATGATTCCAGAGGATTTTTCATGACTTGGCTGTTGAGAAAAGTTTGTATTTTTATATTCTGAAGGCTTAGCCTTGCAGATGATCCCTGAGATCCCTTCCTTTACCAGAGCCTAGGGGGATGGCTCTCCGCTGGGCTAGCTGTTGAGGTGAACAGTCTATGGACATATTGCAAATCGGAGGTAAAGGCAACAGCAGTGATCCATACATTCCACCAGCCCATGGCCTGTTTCAGCTTTGCTCAGCGATGTCTCTGTCATTGCAAGAGCACCATGTGAGCTTTGAGGCATTCAGAAATGCTGCATAACAATACTTTGCAGACTGTTGTTAAGGTGATTAGTTTTCTGCAAATGAGCCCAGGACCCAGCTCTGGGTAATAACGAGAGTTGGGGCTACTGCTGGGTAAGAGCCTGCCATTGCCTGTGTACTTTGATTGCATATGAATTTTTTTGTCTTATGTGCTGTAGTGTAACAGTTGTCTGAATTACTTCATCTAAGCTGTGTTTTTCTGCCATGCCCCGGCTGGTGACATATGAGAAGCAGAGGTTTCCCGTGTGCTCCAGAATGCATTCCTCAATCACAGTTGACGCCAGTGTGTAAGATGGTGTGTTAAATTTCAGCTTGCTCTATGTAGCATTCTCCCTTTTCTAAGATGGCTCAGAAGTAATTTTGTCTTTCAGAAAACCATGACTCAGGAGAATTGGACAGATCATGTTCAGGTGAGTATGGATTTCCCTCTCCCATTTTCTCAGGGTTATTTGCTTGGAGACTATTTTCAGACGTTCAGAATATCCAGCTCTGGATATTGTAGTCCTACTGTTACAATTTTGCAGTTTCTCATAACTTTGTAAGCATATAGCAAAACGGTACATGCAGGGACGAGCAAGGAAGAAAATTTATATTTTAATTCCTGTTATGTCATTAAAAATGCTCTATTTTGGCTGGAGCATTTAGATAAGATTATCAAGTACATTCTTTTACTTTCATGCATTTATTTGTAAGTGAACACTACAAATAGTTATGTTGATTAATTACAAGGAGGGGGCGAAAAGAGAGTTCTCTTCAGGCAGCTAACAAGGTGTGTGAGTAAATCGGGACAAATGTTAGATTCCCTCTGCATGCTCCACTCTGATCATTTTCAACAGGTTTATTAGGTGACTGTCTAACAGTAGTGTGACTTCTATGTCTTGTGCTCTAGGACACAGGTAATTTTAATAACACAGGAGAAAGGGTAGCAGTATTCTTTTTTCTTGGTGTATAAACAGGGGAGTTCAGGCAACCATGTTTTGGCCTGGTACTACAATAAATACATATGTGACAATGAAATACCAAGAAATTCCATGGTGGTGATTATTTATGTGTCCATGATATCCCTGTGGAATTGCAACCTCATGGCGAGTGTTTGCTCCCTTTCTGTAACTCCTCTCAGTTTGAATTCTGCAGCCAGTAAGGATTTCTGACCATCGGCTAGAGTCTTCCTTTGAAAATCCATTTGAGTGGTCAGTATGGGCCTCTGAGTGGTAGCAGGCCAGTTCATCTCATGCATTTGAGATCTTAGGCACTGTCTGTACACACCAGCAAAGTGACTGAATTTTAAACATGAGATGTTTCTTCTCTCTTTCAAAAAGAAAATTTCAAAAGGCATGAGGATGTGTTTTTTAAGACAGAGATCATTGATAAAATGCCCAGCAGCGCTTCTTGGCAACTGTTAAACCTACTGAGTGTTTTCAGTGGTGAATATTCAACTTCTGCGTGTCGTTTATCATACCCATGCAAGAGGCCAGACTCCGTGAGGAAAGGAAGGGGTCTTGCCTCTTGATCTCAGTGATCTTGTCCAGTGAAAGAACTTTTCAGGGTTCCCTTTGATTCTCGCAAGCTTAAAGGCCAGCACAGGTGCTGGTGCCTTGCTGGATCAAGACCTGAGATGGGATTAGCCATGAAACTGTAGCAGTCATCTTCGTCACGACTTCTGGATGTACTTTGGTGTATGCAGTGAAGGGGTTTCTGTTGATGCTATGGTGGATAGTGGGAAGAACCTCCCAGTGAACACGCATGATTGCAGATTGTGTCAATCACTTGTGGAGACAAGAGGCTTGGGAATAAATGCTTTCTGAAAAGTGCTTGTTTGGTGCCTGGTAAGACAGCTCCCTAGAGAACTACACAGAGCTCAACTGCATGAAGGACTATGGCAGAAGGTCATCTTTGCTTTCCCAAAGTATTCCAAACTTTGTATTTTCTGCGTGCTACCAACTTATATATTTTTGACAACTATGTAATTATCACATGAGTAGTGCTTAAACTTGCCTGTTATCAGTTCTGACTCTTAGTGCCATCAGAGATTACTGTCTTTGGCATCACTTTAAAGCGATCAGAATCTGTACCTATGCATCTGGAGGAAAACAAAATAATCGCATGTGCAGGTAGGCTTCTGCTTCACACTGCTGGCAGCGTGGCTGCACTGAACAAAGGAAAAGTTACAAAGGAGGAATCTCTGCACAAGTTTTGTTTTTCAGTGCAAAACCTAAGGTTGTCTGAGACTTTATTGTTTTTGAAAGATTGGGCTTTACGTGAGGGAAAGGTTCAACTTTCCACTCAGAGCTTCACCTGTGACCTGACATGTTTTGTCAAAAAAATCCATTAGGCTCCTTGTGGAGCTGGAGAGAGTTGTCGTTTGTGTTGTATGTCCCATTCGTATGTTTAGTTCAGGCTCACAGACCATTTGTATCTCCCAAGCTCTGCCTGGCGATGCAGTGTTAAAGACACATTGCACTGGGTAGGAAGCAGAGGGTGGGACGCAGTGTGACCTCTGGGTCACCTGGGGGAATGGGAACCAAAACTCCTAAAAGACTCCACAACGGCAAACTCTCAGTCAGAATTTTTGGATTTTTTTTTTCAATTTTAAGTCCAAAGAGGTTAAAAGTCTTCAAGGGTTTAAAACACATTTTTGTTTAATTCTGTGCTGCAGCCATAACAAAAGACTTAAATTACATAGATATCGAGAGCCCTGGTGAAAGTGGTGTCTCTCCATGTTCAGTGGTGCTGGCCGTGTCACGTTCGGTGTGGTGGGTGACAGACATTTCTGGGCTGGTATTTCTTTTTGTTTGCCCTGAGCAGCACAAGTACAGAATTTTCCTGCTCCTGCCCTGTGGGATGAATCGAAGGTGTGATCCTGACTGCTCCTACAAAAGGCAGAAACTCGGTAGTTAATTGTGGGGCCAACAGAACCTGTTTCCAGCCCTGTAGCAAACTGGTTTTGCCCCCTCCACCTGCCAGCGCCCGCACTGCTGATCTGCTGTCCAGGCTGTGGCTGCGCGGGCAGGGATGGCAGCCGTAGGCAGGCGGAGGAGGCAGGAGGGAAAGCAAAGGGATCAAAATGTCTTCATACCCTAGGGAAACTGCCCTCATCGCAACTGCCTGTTGGCAAGCCTGGTTAGCCCAGGAGGAGAGCTACCGTTTGTATCATCTTCTCCAAGCAGAGATGCCTGGAGGGCAGAGGGAGGGGAAGAGTACTCTTCTTGCACAGTGCCAGCTGCATTGCTATTCATGCTTGCCTAACTGATTCTGAGCCGCATGGAAACACGCAGGAGAGTGCCTGTCTTCACAAGCAGAGGGGAAGGTGCGTAGGATATTGATGGTAGATAGGCAGGAAAAAAAGAGGCAGGGCGTGAGCCAATTGTCTGCTTTGCTCTGTGCCCTTCTGCTTCCATTTTTGCATGCTTCATATTTTTCATAGCTTTAATCAGCTGCATAAAGATGGTAGAATTGGGTAGAGCAACCACAGAACAGCCGATATATGACACTGATCAGATGTGTTCAGGAAGGGTCGTCCTGCCGGCGGCTGCAGAGAGCACTTGGCCAGCAGCAAGAAAGGCTTATTGAATGCTGATGTTTCCCTGGAAATTCTGCAGGACAAAATCACTTTGAGACTAAAAAGCATGGAAGGCATTTTTCAGTCATCTGCCAAGCTTTCAAAAAACGAAGACACATAGAACAATAATATCTATGAGGAGCATAGTAAGGAAGCAAATGTCACCTCTACCAGTGCTTTAGATGTCAGATAGTATCTGAGATACTTGCATGAGGTTGGCAATATGACATGGGACTTACTGGGGAGCACTTCCTTTGCGGGTGGCAGCTGGAGCCCGAGGACATCTCAGATAGCACCAGACACCTGTGTTTTGACGACCTGAAATTCTCCTGGTTTAACAGAGGGCTTGGGAATAGGAGGGACTGGTATTTTGCTGCACTGCTTTTAGTGTGCCGTGTTCTCACTGATGTTTTGGGGGTGATCTTGCAATTGTGCCCTTCTAGACTCAGCTTGACTGATTAGTGCCAAAGCACCCACTTTGTGTGGAGTCACCCACACCCCTTCAGGTCTGGTCCGTTCCGCATGGGAGCTGTGCCCATCTATGCGAGGAGAGCTCTCCTCTCTCTGCCCAGGAAGCTCTGAGGCCCTGATGCCACCCACAGGAGACAGTCTCAGCTTGACGAGGAAAGGCTGGGGTAGTTGTGCAGAGGGAATGACAGAATATTATGGGTATTTCTGAACAGCTAGAGCCCAGAAGGCACACGCTTGCTTGATGATTCTAACGACCAGAGTATTTTTGCAGGGAATACTTTGACTGCAGCAGAGCTAACCAGTTGGTACAGTTTAAAATGTTATCTCAGGGTACTTTGACCCAAGAAGTATACGTGTGTTTATTGGGACTTCCTGCTGTGAAATTCCTCCTCCCATGGAGCAGAACAGGGTGACGGTGCACAGCAACATAGCTCTTTGTTTGGGGCAATAACTAGAATCAGTGTTGGGCAGGGTTAAAACCAATTAGTTTATTTAGGACTGTCAGTGTTATGATCACCTGTTTTGCAAGGTGTCTGGGACAGTGAAGTGGTAGAAATAGTACTTCCACTTTTACTGACCTTGAGCCAAAGGGCCTTTTGTTGCTTGTGTTTGCACAGAGGAAACTGTCCCTTAGTTTCTCAAATGTAAAATTCTTAAACCCTTCCAAAACTAATGCTCAGAAAAAGCGCTGGTGTTTGAAAAGATGTAACTTGTTCTTTGGGCACTCATTGTGAGCTGTGGCTCATCAGCCAGCCCTTTTGCCAGCTAATGGTTGGAACCACTGTGTCCTTCGTTTTGGCATGTGTGACTTGAGAGAAGGGTACGGGGATACAACACGTAGAAAAGTGGCCCTTGTGTTTTTCAGGCCCCTGTTTTGCAGCTATTCAGTCTGCTCTGGTCTTGCATGAGAATAAAGTAGACGAACCCTGGAGCCAGCTGTTCGCCATGTTCAGCACTGGGAGAGGCTGCAGCTAATCTCCTCTCCTTCTCCAGCTGTGACAATGAGATAACTTATTTATTTTAAAATTTCTGACCATGAAAATCAAACACTGTGCCAGCTCATTCTCTGGGTGACCAGGGGTGAGATGCTAGTAATTCGTAGCAAATGTGTAACTCTAGTTCCACTAAAATTCTACGTTTGTTATGCTACTTTACAGATAACATTCAGATAATATTCAGAAAACTGCCCAAACAGAAGGCATGAAAGTAAAGTGCCCTCTTTTATGTGTAATACATTTGAAAAACTTTGACAATTCCTGGTCCTTAATAGGTGTAAATTATCTTACACTACATCAAGGAGTCGATGTAATCTCATTTATTTAACCAATTAATTTCTAAATGGCAAACATCCTTAGTGACTGATGCCAAGATCCTAATGCA